TCTATACAAGTAGTAAAACAAAATAAAAAATGTGTTATTAGATTTTATTACAGAATAGATGACGTTTCTCGAACATCATTCAAAAATTAAAAGGTTGCTAGTGATACCCAGTTTGCAAAACAAAAAATCTTCACTAATAGGTCAAAAGAATGGAAGGCAGGAATTATTAAATGTAATTATAGAGTATGCACTTTTGCAGAGACAGATGAGATTTCATTTGAAATGAGGTAATCTAAAGAAACAGAAGTACCCAACTATTAATATTGTTTATAAAATAGTTGGTACCCAACACAAAATAGAAAATGTTAAATAAATTCAGGCAATCAAGAATTTATTCTGAATATGCAGGTGATCTGAAATAATTTAATATGTTCTCTTTCTGGATAGTTACATTTGGTTTTCCCTTCCTTATTGCCATGCTGCTTTCTGTGTTTGACTTTTGTGTTGCTAACTATAACTAATTACACAGTGTTGTAATGATGGCTAGTTCTGCATTTTTTGCTTTTTAACAGTTGCTTTACTATGTGTAAGCATGAGTGGAAGGCAATGCAGTTTATTCTGCATGACATTTTTGCATGAACTATAGTTTAACCAAGTTTATGAAAAATGCAATATTAGGAATTTAATAATTTTGCTATTGCTATTTTAGTGTTTTGCATGTGTATTGTATATGTGTATTTTTTCAGCCTATTCCAAACCTAAACGAGGCCATCGTAAAACTGCTTCATTTGGCAACATACTGGATGTCCCTGAGATCATCATACCAGGTATCGCAGACCAGGTGAACGGGTCAATTGGTTAAGATGCCGGAATAATGATCAGACTGCTAAAATACTTCTTGCTCCAGTTGCTCTAGGACAGAACTAGGAATCATTCCAGTAATTTTTTTCAATAATGTCTCTATGAAGAGAAGCATGATATTTCACTATAAACCTACTTTTATCAGGATTCAGTCTTCTAGTTCAGATTTATTTCTATTGATGAATGATTTTTTCCTCTCTGATCTTCTTGTTCAGAGTCGTCTTACAGAGCAAAACTATACATGCAGTCTTTTATTACAATACCACAGTTGGTGAAAATGGACTTAGGTTGAAAATTGCCTCTCTGGGTAATTATCTTGCCCTGATTTTTGTTGTGTTTAAGCACCCCAATAGAACAATTTAAATACATTACATATAGAACTTCAAATTCACATGAAACTTGTGATTAAATAAATTAAGTTGTAATCCATGTAATTCTTATATTTGACTACAACTTTCTAGAGCTAAAATGTGCCTGCATGAGGTATTTCTGTTTTTTTTTAAGTTAATGCAAACTAGAATTATTAGGAGAGGCTTCTGTCAGGAAGAAAATCAGTGTAATGAGGCACCATAACTGATAATTTAAGTTGGGGCATATATGAATAATTCTTATATATCCCAAGTCTGTATTTAGTTAGCAGCATATAATTTTCGTTTTGCATTCTTTTTTTTATTATTATTTTTTATTTTTACAATTAAAGTGGATTTATTTCCTTCAAAGCCTTGAAAATAAATATAATCAGTCCTGAACTGATATATCATTAGCAGTATGCAACTTGCTTCAGAATTATTTGTCAGAGGCAGGAGATGCAAGTAATACTATCTACCACTAGTCTAGCGATACATTAAAAACTGTAGAAAACCCTATTCTAAATTTGTGTAATCTGAGGAAGTTTCCTTGTAAATCTTGACATTCTTTGGTATTTTAAAGTAGAATGCAAAATACATTTTTTTCCAAAAGTTTATTTTGTAAAACAAGTTTATTTTGTAAATAACTTTATTGAAGTTTACATATAAAGACACAGAATGTAAAAAAAAGAAACAAAACGGGTTCCAAAGAGCAATAGTACTACCCATGAAAAGAAAACTTACTTGACATTAAGGCTAACAAATCAGTTAGAAAGTTTACTAGTGTACTAATTTACAGTGTAGCTTTCCACTGTAATTTTCAAACAGTCCTGGCCTGCCATGACATAAAGAAGATCCTAAGAGCAAGGAAAGTGAAGAGATCCATCAAGTTTTGCGGTGCCAGCATTTGAGAGCCTTGTAAATAAACTGTAGAAGCTGATTGTCTCTGGTCTGTGCACAGTCTGCTGCATGTAACAGCACTGAGGCTTCCAATAAACCTTGAAACTTTCAGAAAATAATTAGGAAGTGAAATGGAATGCCACGTTGTTTTCACAAAATAAGCTGTACCGGTTTTACTTACTTAGGCAGAGAAAGTCAATTAGTTATTCTTTACCTGGATTATTTTAATTGAATTTGACAAGACGGGAATTCCAAGGTGCTTTTGGAAAAAGATACAAGAGAAATAGCAACCTGTAGAAATGAAAGAAGGTATAGGATTGGAGCAAGTATAATAATGAATTTTCTCAAAATTTGCTCTTAAAGTATTTAATTCTTACATAAGCAATAATGAAATTTAATGTTAATGCTTTATCAGAAGCAACTATTCATAAAGAGGAGGACTTCTAGTATCACATAGAGTGAATTTTGTTGTGACTGGGGAGAAAAAACAGAAATAGGGTAAAATTCAGGGTCATGCAATGTGGGTCATACACTAGCAACAATTCTTTTAATAAGATAACATGGGACTTTAGCAGATGCATGCAGGTTAATCCCAGGTAGTATAAGTCACTAATGTAATGCAGCTGTGAAAAACTGAAATCTTAGAGTTCATTTCCAGGAAAAATAAGGAAGTCTTAATGCTATTTACAGGCCCTTGTTGAGATTTCATCACAGATTCAACATACTGTTCTGAACAGCCATATGAAAGAAACGTGTGCTCTGAAATATTAGCAAGAAGAGCTACTAGGATGGCATGGACAGTAAAAAGAAGAATGTGAAGGCATAGCTTTTTTAGCCCATAGAATGAAACCTGGGAAATGAATAATTATTTTCTATAGATGAATTTGCAGCCAGAGAGTAGGAAGAGAGAACTACATAAGCTAAGAGACAGTACTGGCACTACAGAAAAGAAAAAAAAATATATAAATTGTCTGCAGATAAGTGTGGGCTGTATATTTAAAGTTTTCTGGTTGTCAGAACAGCTTTTCCATAAGAATCCCAAGGTTTAAGAGGGTTTAAAGAGGTTAATAGTTATGTGGCAGGGATGTGATCATCAGCCCATTAAATTATATTTTTCTGTATACTTAAAGCAGTTATTAATGAGTACATTACTCAGTTATTCTTTTAGAGACAGTATAGTGTTGCCAGTTTCTCACCTCTCCTTTCCATACTCTCTCAGCACAAGGCTTTCAGCCTTGGCCTTTTTAACATGCTTTTCCCCTTTTAGTTATACTTCCAAGACCCCCCAGAGAAGCACCTCCATCTCAATCCCACCCTATTAATTTCCTTAGCACTACTGCCACATACCCAGCTCCCCTGATCTTCCTTGGGTATGTCTGTTAGTGAAGCAAACAACTTATCTTCCTCCTTGGAGCAGCACAAGTGCCGACCTAATCTCTCCTGCTGCCTGAAGTTCTGCTGAGCACATGGTAAAGCAGCTGCTTCCCAGAGAGGGGAGGCGCCACACAGGCATGTTACCATGAGTCAGCTGCTTTGGGGCAGGGCTATTTTAGAAGTATGAGTACTGCGTCTGCTATCATTGGGGGTTTTCATAATGTGTTGCCTCAGCTGCTTTTCATCCATGAACTGATAGGCTACCAAGGTCATAAAATGCGAATTTTGATCAGTTGAAGGTAAAATGTTGACAGAACTAGATTTTTTTTAAATATCTATTTGATCTTTTTTCTGTTCACCCTTATTTAAACCTGTTTAGAGCTTCCGTTCATTCAAGATGCTATTTTATGTTACTAGCTTGCGAAACTTAGAAACTGAAAAAGAGATCAACTAATTCTGTTTTGGTGTAAGAACTTGGCAAATGAGTTTTTAGTTGTGATATTCTACAACCAGATGGCAAAGTGAAGTATCATCTTTTGGTTGGCTGGTTTTCGGTTTATAGTATATAAAATATATAATACAGATAATAAGAACCAACATTTTTTTATATATATATATATGAAAAATAAAAACCCTAGTAAGTACAGAAGACTTAAGTAGGTATATGTTTAAAGAAACAGAAAAAAAATCAAGTATAATTTGTAGTATGATAAAAAAAATAATCAGAGCACCTTTTTGATACAAACTAATTAAGCAATATCTTGCAAATAACACCTTCAAGTACAGCCTTTTCTTCACTGGCAACATCAGACATCTCATGCATATAGCATGCACTTGCCATTGTAATTTTGTCATCTGAAGCTGTGCTATGGCATTAAAATTTTTACAGCATTGAGACTGCATAAATGATTACTCAGAATAGACACGTTTTTTGAGTGGCTTTAGAAAGTGGATAGGAATTGCAGATACTTTAGGTCTGTAAATTTTCTGTCTACTTTTAAAATCAATAAAAGCCAGAAATCCCACCTTTGTCTCCACAGATCACTTCATTCTTCTGGAATTCAGACCCATGTTTTAACTTTAAAATGTCTTCTGGCACTGTTATGTTCCCTGATCATCCTGCACTGTGAGAGAAGTTTGGGCCTTGTAGATGCATGAGGAAGAGAGAGTACGGTGCACCAACAGGAAACTGTAAAGGGAGACGCAAACATCTGCTAAAGGGCAGGGAGAAGAGTTCTTGGCTGGTGTGACTATTTGGCAGGGGGAGTGATCAGAAGCCTTAAGAAGTCATAGAATTTGGTTTGTCTAGAGTACATAGGGCAAGGCAAGGTAGAAGTTTCCTGTTCCTTTTGAATTTCATTGTGGAAAATAACAGTATGTGAAATGTGTTTGGTTGTTGGGCTTGGGGTTTTTTTTGAGGCCAGGAAATATGTTTATGTTGTTTGATCATCTTTTTTTTGTCATCTTAAACTCCTGTAAACCACTGAAATCCTGTCACAGTGCATCAAGCTACCGTATCGTAACTTCTGTGCATTTGCAAATCTCTTATTAGTTTATATAACAAGAAAAAAAAATAAATTTAAGGAGACATAGAGGTAAAAACAAAATCAAAACTGTGAAAGGAGAGCATAGATAAATAGCAGTGATCATTTTTAGGATTCTGTGATTTCAAATAAAAACGATGTATAATGTTGCAATTGAAATTTGCCTTGAATCTGGAGCAATAAGTATTTGTTGATTCGTAGTCTGTTTCTGCTTTGTCTAAGCTATTTGCCAGATGTCTGCAGTAGTTATACTAATTAAAATGGCATTGCCTAGTAGAGCTTGCTCTTCTCTCATGCTACTAATATGAAGATATTTCATTTAAAGGTATTCATTTATTACAACACAGTAATTTTGGCCCCTCCTTCCCTCCCCTCCCCCGCCCCCAAAGCGTTTCCTTTTCTTTCTTGCACCCCACCCTGATTATTTTAACTTTTTGGCAGCCATGTCTAATATTTCAGCAACACATGTCCTGGGTTCTTTAAATTCACAAATGTTGCTAATCTGAAATGAGAATTTCAGATATTTTTGCAAGCCTATTTCAGCTGAGCTAATTTTATAACAGTGTTGTTGAATGAAATGTGCACATAATTTTGTGTCAGTCATGGGTGGATCACCCATATCTTGAATATTGAGATGAGCTGTGGCAGCCAGATGAAGTGTTAACAGCACAGAATTCTATTAAATGTATGGTCTTATTTGCTAAATGATAAGATAATGAAAAAGTTCAGTGCAAATGAACAAGTTCAGAAATTTTTATGTAGGTTTGTCATTCAAACAATCTCTAATATCAAAGTATTATATGTAATATAGACATTGTTGCTTAGGTAAGTATATACTTAGCCTGAATTTCAGAAGCAAAAGATCAAGACCACAGAGAAGTTGCAATTCAGATTTATTTGTAGTCAGGGCAAAGAAATATATTCCTGTTCTAGGATGCTTTTTGATTGTCTCATATGCTTGTTTCTGATAGTACTCTTTAAATTTTAGACTACAAAATGTCGCCACAAATTGTTAAAGTGACACTGAGAATTTTGTATTGCTGGTTTGTAGTAATGTGTTCCTGCATGTAAGAGTATCTATATTTAAAAATTTAAAGTATGATGACATTAGATGTATTGATTGCTATTAAATAGGCTTACATTTTAGTAGTAACTGTTGCAAATCAAAACACCTGTCATGATAGGCTGTGGAGTCATGGAAGTGATTCCGGATAGGAAGTATCTAAAAGGTTAAAAGTGCGATGCCTGTTAGAGGTGGGTTGTTTGCTGCATGCAGGGTCGCTGGGCGAGGGGCTGCCCCGGCTGCAGTACGTGTTTCGGATGCTCCCCTCCAGCAGAAAAGTTATGTAATGCAGAGCTAAGAGCAAGAATTTTGAGCATTGTCAGCTGTTACTCAGAAAGTTTTGGTGTTTCCTTTTGGACAGCTGACCTGCTCTCAAGAGGCACTATAAACAATCACCGTAATACAAATCAAAGTAGCAAGGGGGATTCTGTTGCATAATCTCCTTTTATTTTTAAGGAGACTGTTTCCTGGAAATGCCTTTGATTGCGTGTCAGTGTGAAAATTTAAACTGTTTTATGTAGCTGTCACTGGTGGATAATTGCTAACAGGTGGAAGTGGAAAAGGAAAAGATTACAGCATTGTGCTCAGTAGGTTGATGGTGAGATGTGATTCAGCCGAGCAGTCCCCTTTTCACACTTCTTGGAGCATGAATATAGGACCTAGAAGGGAGCTAAGACCAGAAGGAACAGTTTTCGCTGCTTAAGTTTTGTGAGGGGAGCGGCACACGGGCAGAAGTCATTGCTGTGTTCCTTAAGCATGCCAAAGAGCAACAGGTTAAAGCTGGCAGCCTGTTATCTTCGCGGTCTAGGTTTTAGAAATCCCCATAACGTAACGCACTTGAAATAGATGTCGTCATCAGCTCCTGCCCTGAGTACTAAGCCTGACCAAATACATGTGACAGAAGATGGTGGAGTAGAGTGCAGCAGCTATTCATGTGGTAGGAGTGGTTATTGTATTAGGGTATACTTTTTGTTGACAGGCCAGCATGTTTTGAGTTAAAATTCTGCAGCTGTCTCTCTCTCCCCCTCTCTCACTTTCTCTCTGTGGATTTGTACAAATTCCAAGCTCCTCTGCAACAGTCGCACCCTTCTTATTTTGTTCTGAATAGATTTCACTGGTTTGTTTTTGTTTTGTTTTTTTTCCCAGCAGGAAACGGACAGCAGAGGCGTAGATCCATTCAAGATCTGAGTGTTGCTGGAACAGAGTCCAGTCAGGTAAGGTCTTTCTTGTCTCTTATCTTTCAGTAGAGTCAACACTGAATCTGTACAGGGAGATTGGTCTGGAAATCTTCACCTTTGATGCTTTCGTAGAAATGATGTGGATGCTTGGCAGACTGTAATGTCATTTGTATTGTATTTAAATGAGATTCCATGAGGATAATCTAATGAATGAGCCTTAGATGAGAAGTGTTTTCTGTATAGCTCTTACTTTTTTATGTATACATAGTTTTTGTCTACCACTTAATTTGGTGAAGGGCAAATGTTGTGCAGGAAAGCCTCTTCACCTCTCTCCATGTAGGAAACAATTGTAATTGCTACTTACAATTTTCTGAAGCAGTTACACATACATGAGACTCACTTTTTCCATAAAATACAACACATGTACATCATTATTATAAATGTTTTTATTACCAATCTCTGAACCCTGAATTGTAACTTTCACAAGAAATTGAGAGATATACTGTAAGGTTTACAGGATGCTGTCACAAAGTTTTGTTTAAAAAAAGACTGTCTCAATAGGCTATTTTATAACAACATAACTTCTCATCTGGTATTGTAACTGCCATGGTAACAGACCCAGTGGTACAGTTCATAAAATTGAAATTAAACTAAGAACAGTTGAACTAAGAAAACTTTAAATGAGAAAAGTACAGCTAATGCTTCATTCAGATATGTTTATTTTGTGGGGTTTTAATTGCTTTGTTGTCTGTTTCAGTAATTCACAGAGGCTATTTGATCGTTAGTATGAATTGGCAATTTTGAGATCCCTACTGTTATTTAGATGTAGAAAACCGGAGCTTAGAATATTCATCAGGTTAATCGGGTTTCCATGTTAAACAACCTTCTGCAGTAATCTAAAATACCTGATAATTTGGGGGTAAAATACATGTAGTTATCAGGAGATCAACATTTGATCCTCCTTTATTTCTGTGGAGTGTGGTGCCACAGAAACCTCATCAATTCCCCAGGTATTATTAGAATTTGCAATGTACAGCTATCAGAAAATAAAGGATTTGTCCTAAACACATCTTAATATCTTCAGAGGGTACAGGTTTGTTAGAAAGAAATGCAACTGCAAAATTTGGTCGAATAGGTTAGCCTATTCAGTTAATTGTAGCACTAAAATTACGCACGACATAAGAAAAAAAAGTGACAGTACATCAGTTATACCAAATGGCACTGATTGATGTATGAATACATTTAATTATAGCTTTTTTATTCTAAATTTTTCATTCTGTTAATTTTAATGAATAGTTAATATTTTAAAATATATAGTATCAGCATTTACTTTAGATTTTAATAACTATTATCATACTCTTTATTTGAAAGCTGTTCTACTGCTTGTCTGGATGTTCTAGCTAAATTGCTCTTGTGACTAGGGGGATGCAGAAAAGGTTTTTTGTTTACCTCACTGAGTTCTGGTGAGGGTCTGTAGAAGTACTAGCATCACATTCTGTTTTCTTGCTTCTGATGTGTACATATTGGAGATCTAAGCATAGGAATTACATGCTTCTATCTTGCAGGTTTAGAAACATTCTGATAAAATCTAGAAAAGAATATTTTAACAGGCATGAAAAATGCTCTTGGGAAGAAATTCTTGCACTATCTCTATAAACAAATAATGTATTTTCATCCCTTTTTTAGTGTGAGAAGAAATAGAAAAGTCTGCTGAAACTAGTGCTTACTTTTGATGTACATAGGTTTGTATATTTAAAAAAAAGGGAAAAAATGAAAAAGGCAAGCACAATGTAATTGTGGCAAAATACTTAAGATGACATTTTATGGGTTTTTGTAGCTCTGAACTGCATTGCCTTGAATTTATTAAAAGTCTTGAAATGCCATCCATATAAGCAATCTACTAACCAGAGCAGAAAAAAATGTGAGTACTGTAGCTCTGGTGAGTTTATCCTGTCTTCCTATACACACCAGACCATATATAGGTTATCCCATCTAATGGAATATCCTCTTCCCCTTCCCTCCCTTCATTGCAAGCATCCTTCTTCCCCTCACTGCGTGCCTCTGCTCCCGCACGCAAGCCTTGTAAGCCCCTGTCATGCTCAACATTAAAGGACTGCAGTGGTGCCACTTTTTTTTTTTTTAAACTATTTGATTGACACTCGAAAGCTGATCAGAAATCTTTTTGTTAAATGTGATTTTCCTGAAAATTGCTGCTGTGCTGGTAGAGAATGATTCTGTTGTAACCAATTTTTTTATTTTTTTTTAATCAGGAAGATTTTTCCAGTTTGGTATGGATTTTTTTTTTTTTTTAAAGGTGGAGAAAAACACCTCATCATAATAATGCCAATAATATACTGCTAATAATAAATATACCATAGTTTGGATTGCTTACCTGAAAGTGTAGACCGAGACTCTTGTCTCCCTCCTTAACTGCTGGTCTGTTTTAATCTGACCTTCATGAATGTTTTCTGATAGTGTGTGTATTTTATTTCTGTGTACTGTTAGAAGAAATTTTTTTGTGGGGGTTTTGTGGCTGGTTATCACTTTTTTTATGCTGTTGAGACACCGAAGGCATTTTCCACCATTGCTCTTACTCATGTTATCAAGTGCAGACAGTACTAGTGCTTTGCAGATGATTTTACTACTCCACTGAGCCTTTTACATCAACAGTTTGGATAGGAAAATACGTGAAGCCAAAGGTTTTCTGTCATTGGATCAGCTTTTGGTGTGGTTTGGTGTTGAGAGCGTGTTTAAGTCTGATTTTTCACGGACTTCTCTAGTGCTTGGTGGCCTTAGACTGTACATTACTCCAAGTGACATTGAGCAGCGCTGATGCAACTGTCGCTGTCCAGTCAAATGCTACATTTCCATTTGTTTCCATCCATGTGTTTCTCTATTCATTTTTTTCCACCAAATTTTTTTTTTTCAGTGAATTATTTCTTCCACGTTTCTATTTCCCCGTACCTGCATTTTAAAACATTGTGTTGTGCCACCTGTCCAGCACTACTGCTCCTGCCTAAACACCTTTGTAACACAGAAGCAGATGTGCAGACTCTGAACTGCAGCCATAAAAACTTTTTGGGGCTTGAAGAAACACAGGAAACCTGCTATTTACCCTGAATAGAGTCTTTACAGGATTTGATATTTATACAGGTACTGAGATTATTTGGCATAATTACTCAAGTAGTGCAGATTATGATCAGGTGTCTAGTAAGGTAGCCATGTCCTTGCCTGTGAATCTTTTATTGGGTTAGTTGTTTTGGTACATCCTCCTTCACAGCACTACAGTTAATACCAAACTATCTCCTCTTTCATGCTTTTTTTTAGTAACTGTTGCTGGGCCTTCATAACTCTTACAGTTTACTTTGAAGTGGAATAAAAATATATTTAAAAAAAAAACACATACTTTATTGAACAGTTGAGAAGCAAGCTTAGAATGTACATGCCCACATGCATACAGCCTAAGTGTGATATTTTAGGGGATCTGATATTATACAGATGAATCATTCTGTCTGCATCATTTTCAGAACTGGTCACAGATATACTTTATTTCATCCCCTTTCACAGTGAGATAAAATCCTAGCTGAGGAGGGCTAGTAACAATGATTTCTTTAAATTGGGTTGCCTGTTTAAATTAAACTGGGGCAAGATTATTCCTTGGAGTGTGGCAGTTTTTCAAGACTGGAAGTCTGAGGAAATGGAAGCTAACAATGTCATGTGGGTTTGGCCGCCTGGCAAAAATTACTTGAGAATACCTGAAAACAAGTCTGTTTGAGTGTATTGAGACACCCAGAGGAAGCAAGGGTGGAAGGATACCCGTAGAAGTGTAGCAGAAGCGGGTGGCTGAAGAACAGGCTCTGGTTTATCTGTCAGAGGGGCTGGTGTCTAGGAGGCCTAAAGCAGCTCACTTAACACATACTTCAACTCTGTAATCTAACAGGTGTTCACTTTGGGGAACTTCCTTGAATTTTGCAATGCTTTTTATATATGCTTCGGATACTGTTTTTTTGTATCTATCTCTAGTAATTTTGTCTAAATAATGTTATCAAGGAAGAGGGTTTTTCTCCTGTTGATGAATCAAAACAATCTGGTACAGCAAGAAATCTGGTATAGCATTGAGAAGTTACCGTAACTAGAGTACTTTTCAGGTGCCCTTTGCTATCAGCTGTAGATACCCAACAAATCTGTGCTTAAAGGACTTACATGCTGTTAAATGCTCTGTCTTCTGACCTTTCACGTCAGCAGAGTGTGTTTTTCTTTCATAACTCAGGACAATGACAGTAAGCAACTTAAACCTTGCTTGATATTAAAAAAGACTTCAAGACAAAAGCTTTTTGAAAATGCCATTATCCTGATAATATCATCCATTGGATTATTTCCACAATAGTTTATAGCCCTTTTTCTGTCTACTGACATAAAACACTGAATGATTAATAAGAATTACAGGACAGGCATAATGCAGTTGAAATAATGGATATTTCAAGTGTGTAAAATCTTGTTACTCTGGATTGTTAGTTGCCTGAAATCCTGACTTTTAGAAGTCAAATTAAGATAGGATATTTGGAAATTAGAGTCATGAAGAAACACGGTTTGTAGGTAATGTATATTTGAGTGGTTCTTTTGAAAAACAGGATCTTTAATAATTTTATTATAAATACACCATATTGAAAATAGGTATGTTTTAATAGCATCTTTTTATTTCATTTTTTCCCTGTAAAACTCAATGGGGTTTGTAGTCTGAAGTCCTTTACTCTGTTACTTTTATGTCAGTGAAGGGGGTATGTGAAATACAAGAAACTGTAAGTAATAATTCTGAAGAAGCAGCTCAGTAGGATAATGAAGTCTTCATGATAGGTTTTTGCACTTTTGGTAAATGAAGGGATTGGAGGAGTCAAGCTGTGTATATAAAGGAGCTTCTTACATAATTTTATCTTGGTTCTTGATTTGCTTTGTGAGAGATAATGTACTTATTTTCTAATTGCTTTGATTTCTTGATCCTTATTGATTAAATACTGTTTTTCATGTTTTCTGGAGATGAGTCGCAGAACCCCTGAATTAACTTAAGAACCATAAGAAAACTGTAGATTCATATACTGAAGTCTAGTATAGCTGCTAAGCTGCATTCATTTAGTTCCATTCATTGATTAAACACTCGAAACAAACTTTATTTCTTCGTAATGTTACAAAGCTGCTAGATTTCACTGAATGGAAGTGTAAAATTGACTAGACATCATGTCACACATTTATATAAAGATCTCAAACATACTGTTCAGCACTGCTTTGTATTATGCTGAATAGCAAAATTATATCAATTTATTTTTTGTGGTAAAGATGAAGCAGAAAGGGAGATGGAATTGGCCATGCAATGCATGTGAAGTTCATCAAACTACCTGGAGAGCTTTCAGGGTAAAAGCTTGTGGAAGGGAGTGTCTGGTAGGACTATAGGTTCGGGTTTCTTCACATTTATTTTTCTGTTATTAATGTTTTGTTGTTTTGGTTGCAGTTTTTTTGTTTTTTTAGGGTTTGTGTGTTGGTTGTTTGGTGGTTTTTTTGTTTGGTTGGGTTTTTAAGCCTTAAAAAAAAAAATTTTCTGTTAACTTTTGTCATTTTATTCTACCACTTCAGGAGAGCAGAAACAGCAGTAGATCATCTAGTCCTAGTGTGAGAATGATCACTACCTCGGGACCAACCTCTGAAAAGCCAACTCGTAATCCATGGACACCTGATGATGCAGGTACTCCTTTGTTCATTAGTTAATTTTTGCATTTAAAAAATAGGAAATATTAGATTATGGCATGGGATGTGTGCCTAGGCATTTAACAAAATTAAGCACTGAAAGTTGCAGTCCATTTTAGTTCTGCTTTAATTAAAACATTACTGCTTTGTTTTGCACACTGGCTTGAAGGACTTTTTTTGCACAGATTATATTAAGTTACATAAAATTGCAAGCATTTTGCATTTAAAGTACTGTACATACTGTGATAGTAATGCAGGTGGTTTAGCATGAGTTTTTTGACTGTAGTGTGGTTTTAGGGAATTAAGGAAAGAGATTTTAGAGTATTTAGTCTTGTGCAATTGTAGCATGAATGCACAGTTAAAGCTTTCATTGTTCTGACTTCTGGAGTGAAATGCTGTGTAGGTGAGTATCAGCTTCATTAATTCTATTTTTGATCTGTGTTGTAATTTTGCTTATGCAGAATGTACACATGCAAACAATCTTACTGGGTTTTAAATGAATTAACATGTGTCTGCAGAAGTATTGTAAATATTTCCGTAGCATCACTGTTCTTTTGTTATGAAATTGCATTAAGGATACATGTAATTTACATAGTACAATTTAATTTTAAAAGTCATCATGCACTCCATTATGAAAAGAACCAGTACTGTACTGTATGAAAACAGTGGGTGCCCACAAATTTTTCTTTTTAGAAACACAAATAAGAATTACATTTTTGTCACTAGAATGTACATGTTCAATCTTAAACTCAAGCTGGTACCTCATAGTGCCTCAAATTTTGAAATCTCTTTCATGTGATCTGCGTCATCTTTGGCTGATCACTCTTCCATTATTTTCCTGTAACCAACTGTGAAATGGAAACTTTCATTTGGACTGACTTTTGCACAAGCATATATATACACACGTGTTTATATGTGCACACTTGTATTTTACCAAATATAAGGTGATTACGTAAGATGGGTACTTTCCCCTTACCCTGTTTTAGTGGGGGGGAGCAACATACTCTTGTATTTTGCTTCTGTGCTTCTTTCTTTCTGTCTTTTGTCACTTTACCTGATCACACGCTATGCCTCATCACTTATAATTTCCCAAAACTCTTGTCCACTGCTACAGCCCACCCTGTTTCCTCTTTTGTGTTGCATGGGTCCTGTGTTGCTTTGGGCAGTGAGCACTTAACGGCAGTTGCTGCCTTATGTGGCAACAAGCTCTTACCCAGTCAATAGTTCATTGGGAACTGAAAGTTGCTGATTGTATGCCAGTGTGAAGACAGTTTGCCCCAAGTCTTTGGCCTTATGTGCAGCACTGCACTAGAGCTAAAAGTCAGGTCCGCTTTCTGACCCACAGAAATTACACACCTTATACTTGGGTAAATATAGAATGTACCACATGTATATTTTTTCTTGTTAGGTTTATGCAGTCCATGAACAAAGAATCGTTTGAATTTCTAAAGAAGGAAGTCATTTTAGTTTTCTGTAGAAGAGGGTACGTTTTGAAGTTAATGAGGCAAAATGATAAAATCGGGATGCGGCCAAATCTGGTCAATCGCAGGTGGGATTACAGTTCTGTGACGCAGTGGTGAAAGGCTCAGGAATGTCATCTTGAAGTATTTTGCATGTATTGATATATTTGAAGCATTACACTAATTCCTTTGCTGTAACAGTATTCCATATATGGTAATAGTTTCATGTAGAGAAGGACTTTTTAGACTGTTCTCACTTAAGATACAGCAGTGATTAAGTCTCTGGTTTTAGGGTTATTTTCTTTTTTTTTTTTTTTACCACCTTCCAGTTTCCTTACAAGCATACACTTAACCGCTTTTTCTCCATTTCTACCCTCTTATTTCTGTTTCCTTTTGAAGCTGCTCTTGAGGATAGCATAGTCTTTGAGGGCAACACCTTAGTTTCTCTACCACGACTACTCTGTGGCAGGTGCTATTGGGGTATGGGTAAGCAGCCCCTTTTTTTTCCCACCTACCCTCCTCTGTGTAATCCTCTAGTAGCGATAATGCAGCTGTAAAATCAGTAGTTTCTCCATGTGTCTTCACTCCTATATCTCTTAAAGCTTAACAGTAACCTTGTAATCCCCAGATTGTGGGCTACCAAAAGATAGGGTCTCTAAGAATTCAGAACCATGTTAAATCTGGAATGAAAGAACTGGAGAAATACAGAGTAATTGCAATACAAGAAGAGAGCAGCCAGGCCCAGGAGGTAGATTGGTTACTGGGTTCCTTGCTACCCGCAAATATCTCTACAGAGCAGAGAAGATGCCCTAGAGCATGTTGTGAGGAAGATCCTAACAGACTTCATTGGGAGCAGGTTTCAAAACTGAGCAGGAGGTTGTGCTTATTTTGTTTTGGCAGAATTGATTTGCACAGCTTCTAATTTTAAACTCATTAGATGCATGGGCTGGCTGGCTGATCTTTCATAAACAAGAATGAAATGACAATTTTTTTATAAATAGAGAGCATGATTGCAAACTGTATAAAAATAGTATTTAAGAAATCTGTGTGCTGTTACATGGCTTTTAGAAGTGTAGGCTGATAACATTAATCTTTATTCCTTCTTGGTGTGACAGACCATACTTTTGAAGTTCTTAACTTTATCAGAAAAAATGATTCATCTGCCTTGGGATTGGAGCACTGCTGTTACCATTTGCCTTTTCACATTCAGACTGTGTATTGTGAAATTACTTAGAATTCTTGGGTTGGTTTTTTCCTGGAAGAAGAGAATTAGCTCTCAAAATACATTAACATTTTCTTGGTATTGTTACAGAGACCAATGGGTCAGATAACTCCATCCCAATGGCATATCTTACATTAGATCATCAATTACAGGTAATAAATACATGCTTTATTAGATTCTTTATCTTTTAGTTTATTCTAAAGTGTGAATATTGGGCTGCAAAATACAGTGCTACATATTTACCTGTGTTTATATTCTGTCTAACTTTCGACCAAGGCTAAAAAAATATATTATGTAATCTGAGATTGGTTGACTCAGATTCGATCAAGCTATTAAAAACAGGCCCTGGGAAACATGATCCCTAAAACCAAATACAAGCTGAGTTTGACTGTCAAAATAAGACATTATTTGCTGAGTGTTACTGAATTAAATTGTTGGATATACTTTATTTATTGTGTGTGAGGTTAAATACTACTTTGACTTTTGTGATGGAGAGACTATTGTGTCAATAACTATAGATTTGGGGTTTAAGTCAACTTTGACATCATTGCAGTAACATTTTGCAGGGCATGGTTTAACACTTATTTTTAAAAGCTTACTGGTTTTGAAAAGCCTTTATAAATACACTGCAGAGACATTCTAACATACTGTATACTAGGATGTCGGTTCATTAGTTTTTAACATGTCTGATTTATTTTCAGCCTCTAGCACCGTGCCCGAACTCCAAAGAATCTATGGCTGTGTTTGAGCAGCACTGCAAAATGGCACAAGAATATATGAAAGTTCAGACAGAAATCGCATTGCTGTTGCAGAGGAAGTAAGTTAAATGTGTTTAACCTTTTCTGTTCTTCTGTATGTTTCTTTTACACCAAGTCTGTTATCTGTAACTTATTTCTGGCTTTATGAAGTAACATTTCATAGAAATACTGAGCTGTTCAGTACAAATAAGATGCTTAGAGAAGGTAATTGGAAGTTTTAATCAATATCAGGACTCTTCTAGAGAAATCCTACTTCAAAGTCTGTGGTGCATCTGTGTATTTGACATGCTAGTAGTATTTGTATCATCTGAAATGAAGAATCTGGACTGTCAAGGAATGTTGGAATTTTATTTCCAATACTGTCCAGTAAAAGAATTTCAGTTTTAGTTTGTAGATAACCACTTGATTGATGGATTATAGAATTTTGAGTAATATGTCAAAGTTAACTCATTTTACTCAGTTATATCTGACTTCAAGCATTGCATTTACGATTATATTATTAACACGCATCTGATGTTTTTCTACTGGGGGTGTAGGACCTACTACTTAAAAGCCATTATGTACCTTCTCAGCCTTGTGCACCAGAAATACTCTTTCCTCTTAGATTTTGTTTGCCTATAAGTGAAGTAACTGCATGTAATGTTGGATTAAGGCCAAAGTTATAGCTGTTTCAGAACTTCAGTTGTGCTTCTTATAATTTCTGTTTCATGATGCCTGAGAGCAGCTCTGAGAGGTCATATATACTTCCATGCTAGACCAAGTAATCAGCTTGTTACCCACCAGTGTCTGAGCCACTGCAGGCAAGCAGTTGTTAATGAGGAGCTTGCGTTGGTGTTTGTGGAATAGCTAATGAGTGTATAAACCTCTTCTACATTAGAAATAGCATGCAGAATAGGGGGGGGAAAGTTACAGTGAGATTGACCTATCATCTATTTGCTTTTGGCTTAGCATCCTTAGTTTTCAAGTGCAACTAGAATTTTTAGACTTCATGAGGAGATCCTGAAGCTGGCTTGAAGATCTGCAATTTGGTTTTATTTCCGTTGTCTCTAAAGGTCAATAAATTATATTAAAATGTATTTCTGTTTCAGAACTGTTGACTTGTTACCTTTAGATTCCTACTTTATCTTTTTTTCTAGGAAGTTTGCATACATGTTTCTCCCAAACTGTTTTTTCTTAGACCATAATTGCCCATAGGTGTTAAAACAAAAAAACAGTATTGTGATTGATGAATTCAATGCTGGTTAAAGTAGTTATTAGTTCAGTCTTTATAGAATGATTAAGTTTTCTTTAACTGTAATTACAAACCATATGGCAACAATTAATTAACATGAACTTTCTCCTCTACTATTTTGTTGCTAAAATATAGCTGGCAGCTTGCCTTCTTGTCACCTCATAAACAAATAGTAAAACAAACTGCTACATCAGTTTTGCAGGATAATTTATAGTAAGTTTATCAGTGTATTTGTTCCTCTCAAATTGTTGCTAAAAAAACATATTGAGCACTTATGGCATAAATTAAGTGAAATGACGGTTACAAAAATAATTTATTTGATTCTGCTTTTCCACTGCTTTAAGAAGTTCAAGTCCAAATAGAACAGCACTTCAGTAAAAAGTTACCAAAATTACTGCAATTTTGTCTTTTTAAGTTGCCTTTTGAATTTTTAAATATACATGTAGTTCAGCAAATTTAGAGTTGAATAAATTGATGAAGTTCTGTGTGGATCCTTAGCTGTTTTACTGTGACCTGTAGAATTACATCTGAAAGACATTATATAAAAGACAATTTCAGAGACTGAGGCTATGGCAAGCAGCTATTTTAAAGTTTAAATATGGATTTGATTTGGAAGAGATTTTTTTTTTCCCCAGACTACAGTAAAGAATAAGGTTTTAAATTTTTTTGCACAAAATACCGCCAGCCATGAGTTCAGATTGATAGTCAAATACCGATTTGAAACGCATAAAGTCATCTTACAAATAGAAATATATTCTAAATAACAATTACTTTTTTATTACTTTTAGACAAGAACTAATAGCGGAACTGGACCAGGATGAAAAAGACCAGCAAAATACCTCCCGTCTGGTACAAGAACATAAAAAGCTGTTAGATGAAAACAAAAGTCTCTCAACTTACTATCAGCAATGCAAAAAACAATTAGACGTCATCAGAAATCAGCAACAGAAACGGCCAGGCACATCATGATTTCCTGGGACCTTTCAAATGAAAAATATGCACAGAAAAGACTGTATTTTTTTTATTGTTATTATTATCCCTTATTATGACAACTCATGAGTGTTAGCTTCTTGGTGTGATCTGTATTTGTCTGCTACACTTACCATCGTTTAATTTTCTTTTTCCTATGGTGGACATCCAGTTCAACAGGTTAATCGAATAAGGTGAGAGAACAGTGACTTGAATTAACCAACAGCACTCAATTTAAAGCAAGAACAGTGGCTGTATGCATGCTCCTTGTGTGAAGGCTAGCCTAACAAGTGTTAAAGTGGCTGCTAAATTTTAAGATCTTGTTTTTAGTTTTTGGTTATTACCTCGATATGAGCAAAACAAAAACTTCCCTGTTTAAGAATGGTTTTGTTCCAGTGTCTCATCTCAGACTATTAATATGACGATTATTTTCAGGACTTAAACATGCATCAAGCTGCAGAGGTGATGCTGGCCGACTAGAGTAATTCATGATGCATTAATAATGCCTTTTACCTTTAAACGTAGTGTATTTTTTCCACCTGCAAAATGGTAGGCAGACTGATGCCAGCATCCTTGGTTCAGTGCTTGATAAGCCCTGCATTTTGACTAATATATTTCTTGTAATCTTGCTTTCATAAAATATTTGAAGTAAAAATTTGTATTTTCTTTACTTTCTTGGGGGAATGACATGCAGTTACTGGGCAAAATTTAGGAAGGAGATTTACTGGGCAAAGTTGTTCGCTTCTATAAAAGAGAGGGAGAATCAAAATTGTGTGAAAGTGTGTTTAAGACCTTTAAAGCTTTTGTCCCTACAGCATCTTTGGAAGAAAATTCAGAAATCAAATTAATACAAACCTTTAAATACTTGCTCCCTCACTTATACCACTTCTTGGGTTTTGGTTGTTTTGGTTTTTTTTTCTTAAACCTTATTTGCTGAAAAGCACTTACCATAAATGTAAATAAGTTTTACCATAAATGTAAATAAGTTTTGTTTAGCTAGGGAGGAGAAGGGTTTGGGGAAATGAATTTATTTTAAATCAAATTATGAAATGGAGTTGAGTATGCAAATAGAGGAAGCTATTAAGAGAATGAGGGAAATGGCTTAGATCTCCATCAGGAATCTCAGTTATTCCACTCATTTGAACATAGTTCAGAGGAAGTCCATCACAGAATGCCTGCTGTCTTCATGACTGAAGAATTGCTTTTAATGAGCTCAAGCAGAATATGTAATGATCAGTGTCATTATTTACTGTTATTATGTGGGAGAAAATAACTACTTGTTTACATTGCAGGTTGGTTATTTGGATTATGAATTAACTTTAACTGGTGCAAAAATGAGGCACTTCTAAATATAATGAGAAATTATTCCTTACATAAGCTCTCAGTATGCTCAGTTGTGGGCAGGGTTTTACTAACAAACAGTCTTGCAAAAGGAAAACAGAAAATTGCCGTATAGCTGCTGAGCTCTTGAAATACAAGAGAAGCAATCTGAAATTGGACTTACTACAAATTAATAATTACTCACAAAAGCCAGTGAGCAGAACTTGGAAAAATATTAAGGGTAAAAACCTCACACTATTTTTCTCTTCCCCTTCCTACCTGCTGGACAAAAAACATCAATACTATTGTGCTTATCTGTGGATGCACGAACAGTTTACTGATGACGAACAGTTTACTGAACAGTGTCATCCTGTCTTGAAAATAAATCTATCACTGGCAAACCCTTGGGAGTCAGAAACCCTTCCCTCATTTTATTTAAATAAAGGAAGGGTTATCATTCCTAAAACCTTAGCAGATAATTTGATTAGTTAGCTGAAATTGATATTGGGATCAACTTAAGGGCACACATATTTATAGCAAAATGTAATTGGCAGAGAAAATAACTGTAGTATTAGGAATAGCACAAGTTATCCAGAGCATTGCTGTTCACATACATCTGTCCTTCTACCAAAATGGACACACGCAGTGATCAGCAGCTTACTTAACACATGCTGAAGCATGAAGTAAGGCAGCATAAATACTGATGCTCAACTTCACATGCATGGTAGATAATACACAAAATCATTTCCCAGGACAGTTTTTGCAGTTTGCTCTGTCGTAAAACACGGACACTGTTTTTAGGTAAATCATTATTGTATATGAAGAATCACTTTATGGCAAACTTGGAGTAATGAAAGCAATGCTAACTTGATGGTACATAATACAGAAGTCTTTTCTAGCAGTTGCTTATGACTTGCTAGGGTTTACATTGAAAAGGGTCTCAGATTGTAAAATAAGTGCTGTGCTACATGCACTGTTGAACTCTGCTCCAGTCGGTAGTTGGGTTATATTGCTCTTGTTCCAATTTTCAAAGGGAATTTGGAGTTTGAACTTTTGCCTCCAAATGGTCCCTTTCTTAATTCTACCAAAAGTTGAAAAATTATTTGCCCAGGTTTCACAGTGAAGTGTTCTGTGTGGCTAAGTCTCTGTATCATTAGCAAAAAAAATCCTATAAGGGTAGAATATAGTGGTTTGGGCTAAGAACAGTTTTAACAGCTTGACTTTCAGTGACCTTTAGTATTTTCATAAGGCTCTTGTTTTAAAGTTGTTTACAAATGTACTTTTTGTGTTAAACTATCTGGAGTTTTCAGGAATTTTTTCATGGGGTTTTGTTTTTTTTTCGTCCAGTTAAAGCTGCTCCTCTAATAATGGAGGTGAAACACCTAGTTTTGTCTGGGCACTGCCTTCTCAGAAAAGGTAACAGGCTCTGCTTTTTGTTACAGTATGTGTTCTGTAAGATATTGTATAATTGAAAGTATGCTTCTGTACACTCTGCAGTTCTGCCAAAATATTCTTTTTAGGTTTTTGGGTATTTTTTTCTGATAAGAAGTTGAAGATTGTAATTCAAAACTTGTACATAAAATGGTGAATGATTTCATATGATTCAGGAATGAAGAGTGTGGCTTTCTGCTACAGGGTTTTACTGTGTTGTCAGGAATCTAATTAATAAAAGCTGAGAGACTTCCACAAACATGTAGTAATGCCCCAGCACTTGCCAGGGCATCCTTGATCTCCAATGGAATCCCACACTGGGTGGGGAATAATCATCATGCAGTTGTTCCCACCACCAAAAGAAAATTCTTCTGCTGTTAGCTCTTCCCTTGCTGTGTGCAGAATTAGGGTGTAGGATGAATAGTCTTACTCATAACTGAGTATCAAGATATTTTAAGAATTCAGCATCTTTCGTATGCGTGTTCCACAAAAATATAAGCACTCATCTTTCATTGTTCAGTTCAGACAAATTCCATTCCAGGGGACTTCCCTATCTTGTTTGTAATGGATTTTACTGCTTGAGAGTTTCCACTGCCATACCACGGACAGAGACATCCCTCCTTAACTTTCTCAGTGCCTGTGAAGAACACAAAATCAGGCTTCAAATCTGTTCTGAGTTGTTTTGAACAACTAAGCTGTTTCAGGTGCCCTGCTCCGAACAGGGAAGTTTGAAAGGGTAAGTGCAAAAAGAGGTGTGGCACACTCAATCCTCAAAATACAGATTGTCCAGTGGTGAACTGGTTGAAGAGGAGGATCTTACAAAAGTAAGTCTGTGTATGTGTATACACGCACGTACGCATGGTGTTATGTACTTACGTGCATAGGCATAGAGAGCTGGATGTATCAAATCAGAATTGATAAATGTCTCTATTTCCAAAATCTGAGCTTTAATAGTTAGCTTTAATGTCACTAGGTGAGTGGTGCTCTAAGCCTGTGAGGATTGAGTTCTGTAGAGACAGATAAATATAGGTGCGCGTACATGAGAGTGCATCAGCTATTTTCTGTGCCTGCAGAGCGCTTTTCTACTTGCAGGGATGATTCATATCTTCTACTGCACTTGGACAGATTTGCTGGAAATGTTTTGACTTTGAACCTGTATCCTGATTGTGGGTCATGCATTTGCCCTTAATGAGAGGGCAGAACTGAATTTAGACTAAATACTTTGGGTTTAATTATTAATTTGTATCTTAAAATAATTGAACAGCACTGCCAATCCTAGGGCTTAATACTAAACAAGTATTAATGAAAAAGGTTTTTATTAACAGCTGTGTGCTTTACACTAAGTACCTAAACATTTTAAATACTCCAAGGGATAAAAAAGGCTTGTGTTCACACAATTGCACGTGCATTGTTGATACCCCTATTCTAACTTGGACAAAGGCAGCCCAGTTACTCTTACACTTGGGAATTATTGCCTTTTACAGATAGAAAGAGGTGCAGATCATTGCAACAAGTTCAAGGCTATCCAGTCTCATGAAGCAAAAAGCACAGGGAGAGGGAAACCTGGAAGCAGATGGAATGGAGTGCTTTGGCTTCCCTCAGACCTTTTCCTGTCCTTTAAGCAGTGAGTGCTCCCTGTCTAAATACAAGTCCGCTAACGCTGATGTGTAGGCTGGTGGGAATGCCATAGTTTTCCCTTTTCCCAGCTGCATTTTTCCCTCCCAACATTGGTGTTGAATGGGAGAGGCTGTGGAGCAGCTGCATGTAGGCTGCTCTTATGTGCTATTTAGGCAGAGGATCAAGGAGTAACTTGCATTCATATAACCCATGGGCTGAGCGTGTGGGATGTGGCACGATTTTAGCTTATAGCAGAAAATGAGAAGAAAACAGTTCCTAGTTGTAGGAGTCTTGAAGATCATATGATGAGGTAGACATGCCTATGAGCAGTATCTGAATCTTCTTTTTCATGAGGAGTAGCAAGGTGGATCTGTTGGGCCACCTTTGGGCAATGCGCAGAGAGCCATTGTGACTGTCCTGGTAGCTCCTGCAATGTGAAAAAAGGGGTGGCCAAAAAACTGCTTAAGAAAAGGAGAGCTGTTTGCACTGAACCTCCTGATGCAGCATTGCTGATGTCAGTGCAATAGATGTTTAAGACTACTCAGACTAGGTTACAAAGATGAAGCTAAGAGGTGGAATGAAGTGTCCTGACAACCAAGGATGGCCATATTTGCCAAGCCACCACTGCAGAAATGTTCCTGTGAACGTCTTTGTTCTCCAAGGCCCCAAAGGAGCCTGCCTGTGCCTGTCACCATAAGACTCCTCTAACAGCTGTCTCCGAAAAGTTAAACCTGGTGCATGGAAATCAGAGTCCTATTATATCATCATTAGCAATGTGTCTAGAGCATAGCTGGGAATTGTTGTGAGGTAGGAGGTGAAGCTAATTTAGCTCATCCTCTGAGGTCTGTCAGGCATAAACTGTTTCTGTCAATGAAGTGCTCAGATAGGATCTAAGAGGCAGAGACAGCACAAGGAGTCATTTTGGTCTGTGCAGCTGTTCCTTACATCAGAGCACAGTGCAATGGCCAAATGTTAGCCAGCCTGCTGGTGAGAGCCGTGCTGCTGGCTTTTGTTAGAGGACTCCGGGCACTGATCCAGATGTGCTTGCATGCTGGCAACACGCTGAAGCTGTAGCAAAGTGTGAGGTTTAAGGTGATCACCAAATGATCATCATGATGAAGTGGTCATTATGCTCATCAAAAACAGTAGATACCAAGGGATGGCTGAGGAGGGATTTTTGTTACTTGTTTTGGAGAAAAAAAAACCAAGTGTGCTGATCATTGAGTGCACTCTATCTCAACATCTCTGGATCAGGGAAGCCTCCCTTAGTATTGGCGTAAGCCCTCT